AGATAAACAGATAAACAGATAAACAGATAAACAGATAAACAGATAAACAGATAAACAGATAAATAGATAAACAGATAAATAGATAAATAGATAAACAGATAAATAGATAAACAGATAAATAGATACATAGATAAAGATTGATAATTGATTGAATCAATGAATCAAGGAATCATTGAATGAGAAAGTAAGCATGCAACTGTTGTTGTTTTTTTACTCAGACGAAATAGACAAACAAATTTTTTTTAAAACAACTACAAAATAAATAATTACGTAAATGAACACAGAAATTTAAAAAAAGAGAAATCATTAGAAAAATTAATAATTCCCAACTGTAAGCACGACAAAGTAGCGGACCAATGAGTATGACTACCATGACACAATGAGCGTGTTTGGCGCGGTCGGTCGTTCTGTCGACAACAGCAACAAGAGACATTAACCCCCCGTGGAGACACCTCATTACTATGAGTACAGCGCCGCTCAGACAATGGACAGGGGTCACTCCCTGGACCAGTCAAGTCGTTATTATGTATGTGTCCAAACTGACCGGTGGCGATCTGTGACGTGCACGGTGAAATGGCCGGAGAGCCGGTCGGCCGGTCGTCTGGAGCCCATTAATGCCTGCGTCCGCAGAAACAGCTGGCTGCAACAGACGCATTCATTCCAACATTGTTGGAAACTAGGGGGATTTTACTTTAAATGGGCTTTAAATGGGCTTTAAATGGGCTTTAAATGGGCTTTAAATGGGCTTAAAACATGTAAATGGTGAGCAGATAAAGAATGGCAGACTGTCATATAAGTCACGCCGCACGTGCGGAACGCAGTTCAAAAGACTGGGAAGTCCGCTCAGCCTGAAGTGTATCGTGTTTTAATTACCCCCCTCCATGACTGTTTAATCATGGCCAGAAAAAATTAACTACCCAAAAGTGTAAATCCAACAGCCATGTCGCCGGGTATTTAAACGAAAAGAAATAAAGAATTTGCATACAGAGCGTGGATTGACGGGACTCTTGGTGTGAATCCAAATTTAAGCAAAACAACATAAAAAGACAATACAACGTTACCATTTTTAATGCTTTATTTTTGTTTTAGGACAATCCAAACCCTCATAGACTCACAGACTGTATAAGTTCATGGCGGAATGATAAAAGACAGCACCGTAAACATACTATCGTTTCGCTCGCTTCATTCTTATAATAGGTGCAGAAATAAATAGATTAAGAAAATAAAGAGAGAAAAACATAGAAAGAAAAAAAAAGTAAAGTAAAAAAGGCCGCCGAGAGGATTCTAAAAGTAATATACCTTTACATGTATTCATGCAGAAGAAAGCAAGCTAACAAATACACAAACAAACAAACAAACAAGAAAACATACAAACAAACAAACACACCTAAAACAAACAAATAAACAAACAAAAAAGCAAACACACAACCAAATAACAAAACAAACAAACAAACTCACTAACTAACTAACTAACGAACTAACCAACTAACTAACTAACTAACTAACTAACTAACTAACTAACCAACTACCTAACTACCTAACAGACCACAGGAACATGGAGCTGAAAAGTATCAAAGAAAGTAAAATACTACATGTATATATGGCTTTATGATATCCTAAACTGCACGCATACACCAAAAGTACACGTTGTACCTTGTCGTATACTGTGTATAGGGGTATATGAAGGCCTATAAACGTGCCTGCTACTGTCGTGCTAAAGAAACAATCTAGTATTTTGTATTTATCATACTATTTATTCATTTTTTAAAACGTTATTTTATTTTATTTACGTGTATTTATTTATTTATTTATGTATTTATTTATTTATTTATTTACTGGGGAAGGGGTAAGTGTTTTACGACGCTCGCAACTGCATAATGTCATATTATGAGCGCGCTGGGGCACATTAAACATTTCCAGTTGATAGGAAATTTTAGAATTTTGCCCGCGTGGCTGCCGAAGCCTACTCTTATCGATTTTGGACCCCCAAGGGATCTTTAATGTGCGAAACTTGCACACGGGACCTCCGAGATTTTTTGCCTTTGTCCGAGAAGGCTAGGTGTAGATCTTTCCTACCAGAAGATCAGGGGTGTGGCTGAAAGACAGCAGTAAGAAGGAGCCAAGGAGTAGTAGTAGAAAGGCTGCAGAAAGAGTCAGGAGCCCAGAAGAGGGGGCAAAGGAGGTGAGAGGGTTTGGGGCAGAAAGTGGAGACGAAAGCAGACGACAGAACATTGCAAGAGAGCAAGCAATAGGTACACCTTCCAACCACGTACAAAGACAGAAATAAAAGAGAGAGAAAGCAAAGATTCGAAGTAGGTTCTTGCATCGAGACCCTCCAACCAACCACCCACACAGACAGAAACAAGAGAAAAAAAGAAGAAGGTTCATTCAGTGACACCCTCCAATCACCCACACAGACAGAAACAATAGAGAAATATTTTTTTTTAAAAAGCAGGTCCTATCAGATCCTATCAGTGTCTGACCCCCTCCAACCACCCACTCTTCTGTTTTTTCTCAACACCAGCTTCAACCCTCCCTCCCGCTGTCCACACATCTCACATCATTTTTAAAAGTACAGTATTTTATGTGTGGCATCGTGGTGAAATCAGGCTCTCGTCATAATAACAAGATCAAAAGAACCGACATTTCCACGTAAGTAGGGCATTTTTTATCGATTGTTTTAAAGCTCAATTAATTTTATGTCTATATTTTAAAACACATTACTGTGTGTATTTTTCTTTAAAATATTGATCAAAGGCACACAAAATGCAATTAAAGTGCAGTTTTCATGGACACTCAAGTTTCGGAGGTCATCAATTTTGGGCGGCTATTTTCTTGCTAGTTTTCCCTCTGACACCAAATTCACCAATTACACATCTCTATCTTTTTTTCGTGATGGATGTGTTTCTTTTTTCATAAAAAAACAAGACAAGTCAACACATTTTAAGAAGATATTACATGTAATGACTTCCACAAACTGACATCATCAGTTTTTGGCGGTTATTTTCTTCTAGTCTTCCCTCTAACACCAGGTTCAATGACACATGCTATACTTTTTCCCCACCGGTAATGGATGTGTTTCTTTTTTCATCAAAAGCAAGACAAGTCAACAAACTTTAAGAGGATATCAATAACTTCCAAGGTCCACAAATTGACGAGCGCCAGACTCCACCGTGTCGTGACACATATTAGGCAGTTTTTATAATTTTACAGGAGAGTCAAAACAAAACAAAAAAGCAACAAACAACCAAAGACTGAATGATGTTACTAAGAAAAACAAACTCTTTGCAAACTCTCAAAGTCATTGTCAGTTTTCATGGACACTCAAGTTGAGGTCATCAATTTTGGCGGCTATTTTCTTGTAAGTTTTCCCTCTGACACCAGATTCAATGACATTAACTCATGTCTTTACTTTGTTTTCAGGATGGGTGTGTTTCTTTTTTCATAAAAAGCAAGACAGTCAACAAACTTTAAGAGGATACCAAAAACTTCCCAAGGTCTACAAATTGACGAGCGCCAGACGGTCCACCGTGTCGTGACACATATTGAATATAAATAAGCAGTTTTTACAATTTTGCAGGAGAATCAAAAGGGAAAAAAGCAACAAACAAACAAAGACTGAATGATGTTACCAAGAAAAAACCAAAACTCTTTGCAAACTCTCCAAGTCATTGTTTTAAAGAATAAAAATTTGATAATAATATCCTATCATCTGTTGTTTTCTTGGTAGCAATATTCTGTTGGTTTTTCTTGTTGTTGTTGTTGTTGTTGTTGTTGTTGTTGTTGTTGTTGTTTTGGTTGTTGTTTTGGTTGTTGTTTTGGTTGTTGTTGTTTTTTGTTGTTGCTGTTTTTTGTGTTTGTTTGTTTTGTTTTTTTTGCTCTCCTGTAAAATTGTTTGTAAAAAATGCATATCATATACTGTACTCTAAAAAATGAGTGCAGACATGTGCTGGTAGTGTTAGAAGTGAGGCCGAGAAAGTAGCTATACTGTAATTCCAGTCTTTAATTGGTCGCTTACACTTAAGGACAAGCGGGCTAACCCAGGTTTCGGGGTTTTCAGAAATCTTGACCTACTCCAAAAGTGGGCATTGCCCTACCTGCAGGACACGTTTGGTTTCATTGGCGTGTATATTTGTTTGGTTATAGAGAAAGCTCTCCTTGTTTTAAAGAAAATGAAAAAGGGGCAAAAAATTTATCTTCGATTATTTCCAAACCCTATTTTTTAGGGATAGCCCCCTTGCGCTTGAAAGCGAC